TGACAGTATTGTGGTATGCTGGCAATTCTGAAAGAGCAGTGTCTGCTGGTTTTGCTTCTTTTCATCCCAAACCTGAAAGAGCAAAGCCCTCCAGATCAAAAGAACGTGTTGTATCAACTCTTGCAGTTGGGGTAGAGCAGTTTTGACAGTATTGTATAACCGCAACGCCTGCTTGCTGGTGTTGCTTTTTGTCGTCCAAAACTTGAAAGAGGCTTTGTTCCAGCCGAGGGCTTGTTCCAGCCAGGGCGTTTTCCAGCCCCTGGCTGGTTCCAGCCCAGGGCGTTTTCTAGCCTGGGGCTTCTTCCAGCTCGAGGCATTGTCCAGCAAAGGGTGTGTTCCAGGCAGAAGCTTGTGAAAAATATTCTCGGCATGTTCCGGGCCTGGGTGTTTTCCAGCAGCAGCCTGGTTCCAGCCCCGGGCTGTTTCCAACGAGGGGTCGTTTCCACCTCTGGGCTCATCACCCAAAAAACCAAGTCTAGACGCGTTTGGTTCTTGAAGCCAAAAAGTCAGAATTCTTCAATTTTCAATTTTTCTGGTTTTTTTAAATTGTACAATCCATCATTTTCGTGTTGAAAGTTGTCTTAATTTGATCTTCTTTGCTGTTTTTCAAAGCTCTTTACCGGAATGCTTCTGGATTTCACAAGAGGCATTTGGCAGAAATGGGTGATAAAATTGGCTGGGGGCTGCGCCCCCAGACCCCCGCTTGCTTTTGAAAGTAAGTGTTTGCACCGTCAGATCCGAGCGGCAACGAAAGCGAAGCAGCCATACATGACTACCTCCCCATCGGTAGGTGGCCAAGCGTAATGTGAGCCCTCACATCTTCTCGCCGACGTCTGTCGGTTTGGGCATAGAGGGTCTGATTCTGGTAATTGAACCCTCAACTCTTGCCGGCCAAGAAGATAGTTGCTTGGCCTTAAGTGCGAAGTTTCGACTGGGGCCTGCTTTGGCCGTCGGACGAGACTCTTGTGAGACCAGAGAACGTTGCGCCTTGTGCTCGGAGAGGCTCCACTGGCTGACCACCATGGAGTGCTCTGGGCTGGTTCTACCCTTGATCTTGCCGTTAAGTCCCCACTGGCTGACCATGGGGCAACTTTCTTCGGATCAAGAAGGTTGCCACCTGCAACATCCCGTGAACGGCCTTGGCTGGTGCTGAATGTATTCGCATCGGTGGCTGCATGATGGTGATTTTGTGAATCTGGCAACGTCGCAACTTGCGACGCACCTGCGCACTCGGTGCTACATGTGTGCTTCCGGTCTCTTCGACGATTTCGAGTACTGAGTGCACAGGGTGACCTAGCAGTTCGGCGCGCTGGCTGTGGACACTTCTACGTGGAAGTTATGCTGACGTGGCAGGAGCCATTGTCCACTTGTAGAACAACTTGGCCCTCTTGTGACTGGAGGGCACCCTCGTCTGAGCTGGCCTGCGGCAGGGCAAGTGGGCTCCCCGCCCGCGTGGATGTTACCTGAAGGCTCTGATTGGACCAAAGTAAGCAATACCGTTGGAGATCCTTGCACCTCGGCACCAATGTGATGTGAGCCCTCCCATCTCCGTACCTTGCGGGTTTGGGTTTGGAGGGACCTGATGCGTGCCGATGCGCAAGGCCAGCGCCAAGGTGGCGTGGCCTTGTGTGAGATGCCTGGACTGGGAGGTTCCTCGTTGTCATTATTAACCCTGTGGCGTTAAGGGTTTGATGACTCGCTGTGGAATTTCCCCGTGGAATCGGTAGCTGCAGCTACTCTCGCCCCCCCTCTGGCAGTGCGCGGGCACCGTTCTGGGTGGGCCACCATGGAGTGCCCTGGGCCGGTCTTGCTTGATTGTTCTTGCTGTTAAGTCCCTACTGGCTGACCACCATGGGGCATATGCGCATCTTTCATCCCCCCTAGGGAGTCTGAATTGCAACATCCTTTCGCCATTGAGTGTCGGTTGTCTCTCCTTGACAACGAGTACACGATCCGAACCTCTTCTGATGATCTCGGTTTGAATAACCGCTGTCGCACCAGTGGCTACATGATGGTGGTTTTGAGAATCTGGCAACGTCGCAATTTGCGATTCCCCCACAAGCTCTGTGCTTCCTTGTGAACCGGGACTTCATTGACGACCTCGAGTACTGAGTCCGTGGGGTATCTAGTAGTTCAGCGCGATTGCTCGCTTTGTTTCTTCGGTGTCTGTTTGCTTGGTGGTTGCTTGTTGTGTCTTGCGGTTGTGAGCGCTGACCTTGTTTCACCCTTTACGTCGAGCCCAACAAGACCGGCCTACTGTGCTACTGATGTAGTAAAGAGGCAACAGTCCAAAAAAAAAAGAAGGCTGCAACAGAAACTCTCCTGTGTCTTGACCTTAATAAATCATAAACCACTTCAAGAACGTTTTTGGACTTCCATGTATGTGCCGGGATTGTCGAAAGGACGCTACAGAGATGCAGTGCCACTGACTACGCGTTGTGGAATTGCAGAATGCTTTCCAAAAATGCCACCGATCATTTTGTGTTCTTTGCAGAGCAAGTGGGCTCGTTACATTGGCTAGTGCGGAACAGTTACAGTTGATGGCTTGGGGCAGCGATCCATGTATCAGGTCTTGCTTGCTAACCAGTTCACGAACACAGAGACGCTTGCAGTTGAGCTGCATCTCAGCACACCTCCATCGGAAAGCGTCAAGCATTTCTGGGGGCTGTGCGCGGTTTCTCCAGGCTTCCTGAAACTCTCGTCTTTACACTTGCACGAGCTGAACCTGGACAGTTCACCGACAGCATTGCGCTCGCCTCCTAAATATCCGCTTCATGAGTACTGTCAAACCCTCCCGCCCACCTGGGTTCAAGACCCAGCAGTTTAAGAACGCTCTGTTTTTGGAAACTGCCGGATCTGAGTGCTCGGGTGGGTGGGAAACAAAACAGAGCCCTCACCTGAGTAGCCTCGAGCAAGGTCAAGGCTCCGGCAAGGCTCAGTCCCCCCGTCCCCCCCGAGAACTCATTTGCTCGATTATTACTTCCATACCGCTGCGCTCTGTTCACATCAATAATCCGCTTTATGAGTACTGTCAAACCCTCCCTTCCACCTGGGTTCAAGACCCAGCAATTCGCAGTTTAAGAACGCTCTGTTTTTGGAAACTGCCGGATCTGATGCATGTGACTCAAGATAGCACAACAGAGTCGATCTTATCGGAAGTGAGCAATGAGCCGCATCGTTCCAGCTCGGCTCTTTACTTCCCGTCCGACTCCCCGCTATCATGGTTGGACAAAGGATCCAAGGAGTCTTGGTCACGGAAGCATCTGTCACACAAGGACTTTTCCGCACGTTCCAGCATGCTTTGGTAAGCGAAACTGCTTGCGTAAGACCATCCGCACTGCGTTTTCCACAAAGTCGGGGGACTAGCCTCTCATAGCACTCCGGATTCTAAGTTGACAATGTTGGTTTCGCTGTTAATCTTCTTCTCCAGGTCGCTCACTCGCTTTCTAAATTGAGCTGGTCGCTTGTTTGGCAGGTCTGCCAGGGCTATGTTCCCAGCGTCGCGGCGTGAAGACACGCTATGCCAGTTAACACGTCCACGCTTCTGTAATGGGTGCTCTCACAGCCAATGGCGACTTTCCCCACATCACACACAAGCGAAGCTGTGCGCCTGATGAATTAAAAATGGACTTTTGGAGAACGCGTTCCCCGCTACGAGGATCGCAGTAAAGGGATCAAGCCATGTCTGTCCACAATTCAAGGATGGGCAACTCCCTGCGTGCCGCACAGATTTGCTTTGCAGGTGGCTCGAATGATGCGCAAGAACCACGTTCTTGTGCAGACCAGCATGTACTGGATGGCTTCTGCAGCTTTGAGCATGTCTTGAACAAGCGTGGTGGTTTGTCTACTTTGTCGAAGTTCTTGCAAACACGACTAAATCTCAGTTCATGTGCAGAGTGTATTCAATGCCGGTGTCCATGAAAATGAATCTGTGTAAATTTCCCAGCTCCAGCAGGAGGAATTGTAGAGCCTGTTCCATGGTGACGGCGTTGGCTGCCGTTGACTATCATGTAAGAAGCGCGAGCAAAAAAGCGTCGGACTTAACTGACCCGTGAACCGATCCGCGTGACATGTAGGCAAAACAGCACTGCCAATGGTTGACAACTCTGGTGCATGTCATGTTCAACGAATCGGCGTGAATTGTGTGAACTTGAGACCCTTACAACCACATGTGACACATTACACTAGAAGCGTGAGGTCCACGGCATGCGTGTTATGCACCGTGGAAATGTCAACAAGTTGCTATGGCTGTGAAACATTGCGCATGGGTGACCGAGAGGACTGGAACGTATGCCTCAACTGTCGGGATGTTGAGGGAAACCTCTGCGCTGGTGTCGAGGATGTTGTCGGTGATGTATGGTTTTTCCCACGGTTCTACTTCTTCTGCAGAATCGGCCTTGTCGTCAAAGCAGTAGTCGTTGTAAAACGGATTGGAATGCCGTTGTTGATTGGCTTCTTTGTCGATCAATGCCATGATAAGCCGGTGGTGTTGCGTGATCCACTCTACGACATTGTTTGTCACGGAGAGGTTGGCGTTGTATGTTGCATGAGCACATGGTGCATCTTGGCCAGTGTGAAGTCTGCACGGAACAAGTCATGCGTCAAACGCCGTGCGGTTCGTCTTGGAGAGAAGAACTTGAGGTGTGGAGCACCATGTGGATGTCCCCGACGGATAGCGTGTTGATTCTGATGCATGACGTTTTTTTGGCTCTCCAATGTTTCAATTTGGCGTCGACAGCAAGAGTAGTTTGTGGATGCAGTGTAGCGTCGGGTGCCAAGTGTTCGACGAATTCTTCGTGAGGCTGTTGGTTGGTGACCGCCGCGGCCGCGTTCCACTCCATATCCTGACGTAGCTCTTGTTCGAAGTGTGAAGGTCTCGGGTTGGACATCTGGACGTACAGGACGCGTCCATCAGGTAGAGGAGGGAGCGTCACAGTCATGTCCTGCAGGCATATCTTCTCGCTGAGGTGGAAAAAGCGTCTGGCTGATGGACTGTGAGCTCATACCGCGAAGAAGTTATCATTGCGTAACTTGCTCTGGCTTTGTGCGTGCAGGCGATGTGGGCGATGTGGAGCACGCAGAACGCGACTCCTGCTTTTTGTGCATCGTCGGAAAAGGGGCGAGCGCAGTACTGAACTTTGATGTGTGCCGGGGGCCGGGATCTTCTTCAGGATCTGGCCGATGTTCATCTTGGTATTGATCTTGTTGTGGATTTCCTGGTAGATGGTCTTGGAGAGAGGTGACAAAATTCGCCGGGTGACTGGCGCAATTGATGACAAAATTGCCGCGGTGGTGCTGCCTGATGAGATGAATATGTCGTCGAAGGTCTTGATTTGTGGTATTTGACGAAGGGCAGAGGACGGCATTGTTGATGTGCACGTACCATCCTCGGTATCCTCAAAGTAAGCTGAGTGGACGACTTCGTGAATCCTGACTTTTTCTTGGTATTGCACGCCCATGCGGTGATAGTGTGTCATCGACGTAAGGAAAGAAAGAAAGCGGAAAGGGCAAAACGCTGGGAGGAGGGGAAACCTCCAACGAGAAGGGAGGGAAGCAGAGAAGGAAAAGCCACAAATCATGCCCGTGAAGCACCGAGCCTCGAACCAAAGGTAAAACAAGGTCTTCCAAGGTGCCTGACGCGTGACAAGAAGGAAACAGAATGCGAGCCTGCGCAGGACCAAGACAAAGGCAAGCGCAACACAGAACCGCCAAGAACACCCGCCCCGAAGAAAGGAGGGGCTAGCCAACAAAAAGAATGGGCACGAACCAAAACCGACAAAGTGGACACGGGCAACGCCGCCCCGCGCGACGGAAGGTGTGCCGAATGCGAAACGAAGGGGCGCAGTGCCATGCCAGACGAATCCAGCACAATAAGAACTATACCCAGGCTGAGTGGCAAAACTGCACGAAGGCCAGCAAGAAGGCAGCGCTGCCCCAGGGGAGCCTGGGTTTAAGCCCCCGCCTTGTTAGTTCCTTAGAGCTCTTATTGCAAAGGGAGAAGCCCAGCCCCAGGTATGATTTCCAGAAGGGGGTTTTGACCTAGGGTTTGAACCTGGGTTGAAAAAACCTACGTTAAACCTAGGTTCTCCAAGCCGGTTTTTGAGCCCAGGATTTAACAACTTTTTCTGACGACCGGTTCTCGTTTTTCGAATTACAAAACCAAGGAAAGCTAGAATTAAAATTAACTCTGATTTTGGCCCAGATTCTACCTGGGCCTCTTGCGCAAGGATTACTTGCACTCTGGGTTTGACCCAGAGTTCAACCCAGGTTTAAAGCTTCAAACCCCTAACGGTCAAAGATTTAACCCACAGCCTAGCCAGTCGTTTTTTTGCACGCACAAAACATAGGCAAGCTTTAAAAACAGCTTTTGCTTTCTGCCAGTACAACACTCTGATTTCTTTGCTGTTAAATACAGGCTCGTTAAGCCCAGGTAGGCGGAACCATGCTTTCCAACCGCCAGCTGCGTTAGAGTTGACGTTTTCAATTGGTAAACACCTCCGCAAAGCAGAGGCCAAACTTGAACACCCAGCCTCAAGAACCGCATTTTTTGCTCGGCTGTGCCTTCTCCTCATTCATCACAACGGAAAATGACCATACTCCAAAATAGCTGACTCATGTGCTCTTGCTTCAATCGGACCGCAAGTGCTGAATTCGCTGAGGGAAGGGGTTTGTGGCGTTTGCAGGTTATGACAGGTGCAGAGAGGGTTTGTTGCAAGCGAAGTAAACAACGAAGTTGGATTTTAGAGTTGCCTGGAATTCTAAATCATCACTTGGGATGTCTCAAGACCACTTTGACAAAAATCTAAAAATTGAACCAAAGGGTGTCTCAACACCAAGGAGTTTCTTAGCGTCATTTTCAAGTCAGATCAAGCAAAAAAAGGGTGTCTCAAGCCGCTTGCAAAAACCGTTTCAAGACACTTGACACTTTTGAACCAAAAATGCTCTTCAGGATTTGTTACGCGGAATTTGCGATGGACCTTCAAATTTCTCAAAAAGTGAGATGCCGAACAACAAAAAAAGACAAAAAACCTGACCACAAACAAAAGTGTCCAAAAACCATCAAAAACAGGCCCTGACAGCCCCTTGAGCCCTTCAAGCCTTGAAGCCCCTCTTGAGCCTTCGAAGGCCCCCCTTTAAAGGGATTCCTTTTACCAGTTGGTGCATTGTACGCAGTTAATTGATGGAACTCTGATGCTTGTGCGGGGTGTCTGGTAAAATAGGCTTCCTATTAGCTGTTATCCAGTTTAGTAGTAGTAGTAGTAGTAGTAGTAGTATTAGTAGTAGTAGTAGTAGTAGTAGTAGTAGTAGTAGTAGTAGTAGTAGTAGTAGTAGTAGTAGTAGTAGTAGTAGTAGTAGTAGTAGTAGTAGTAGTAGTAGTAGTAGTAGTAGTAGAAGTAATGAGCACTCCGGCTCAGCTGTGTCCCAGCAGCGGGACTTATAGTTGTGGAGATGTAGCATCTATGCCATGGAGCGAACCTTGTGGAGTCCGGCTTCGAAACGTGATGATCACAGTCCTATAGCGCACCGAGCCGCACTAGCGCTACTGTTGACGCTCGCCAGCTAGGTGCCTTTTGGCCCCAACAAAGGGCGCATGGGTCGACTGAAAGCCGTTGCCCCTGGCCTGCCAACGCGGCTGTCTGGCCCCGTTGCGAGTGCGTGGCTACCAGCGATCAGGAGTTGGCGCAACTTTTCCTGCAGCTGGCGCAAGCATGACGTGGCTGCCACCCGCATTCCTCCTGGGCGCGCGCCGTCAGGCCGCCCCATTGAACGCATAGTGCCACACCTCCTTATAGATAGCCGGCCCGGTCCCAAGTCCGGGGTGGGATGCCGACTGACGACTCTACTTACATTGCTACATTGTCAGGTGTCCCACAGTGTGAGGGTTCCAGCTCTTTCCGTTGGAGCTGGGGAAGGCAACTCCCTTGCCTATCAGCGACGACTTGAGGTGCCGAAGCTCTACTCACAAGTGGAACCGATGTGTCAAGAGATCGTTTATGCCAGCTTGCAATAGAGCTATTCGACATTGCCAAGCGCAGCCCTTGTGCCTGTGTACCTCTCGTTTTATTCAGATACCCGAGGAGTGTGTAGCTGCAGATCATCGCTGCCTTGTCCCGAATGCTGACCGAATGCCGGCGGCGGCAACCTACCCTATCCTCGGATGGGATGGCCCGCACTGGGCCCCGGCCCCCACGTATGCTTCGAGATGTGGTCTGGGTTTTGGCGTTACGTCCTTCCGGGTCACAGTTAGTAAGTGCGAGAAAGCTGTGTTCTGGCGATGCTCTGCGGCCAGACCTTTCTTGGGTACTGAACTATACGGTCCCCAGTGTGCCCTCCAAGGGCCACTTGCAGTTCACAGGACTACAGGGTGCTGAACGTGGTTCTCAGTGCGCCCTCTTGGGGCCGCTTGCAGTTCACAGGACTACAGCGTGCTGTGCGTGGTCCTCAGTGTGCCCTCCTGGGGCCACTGCAGTTCTCAGGACTGCGCTTTGTACAGAGAAACAGCATGATGAATGCAAGATGCCATAACAGATGGCTGTAGCGATGTCGATAGCTCTACGACCTGTTTTCATGTTTTACGTTTTCGCTTTTTACTTATCTGATTTTGCACACTTTTGATCGAATGAAGGGTGCACTGGTGCACCATTCTCTTGACAAGTTGAGTAGGCCACAAGTTTGCAGCTATTCGTAGCGGGACTTGCCCATGTGGTTCTAGTGCTCTTGAAGCACCGGTGCAATGCGCTGCCACGTACCTGACGCTAAGCTGAGACCGGCTGCGATTGGAATGAAAAATAGAAGTAATGAACACAAAAAACAGAAGACGAGCGGGGTGGTCCCCTTTGAAAAGAGTCTCACTTCTCTGTGTTGAAGAATAAAATCAAGAAAAACAAAACAAGATTCGAGGGGGGTGGAATTTAGAATACATTCCCTTCTTTCTCTTCATAAAGGAAATGAATGTGTAGTCTCACTTCTCTGGTTTCGAATCATGAAAAAATTATAACAAGATTCAGAGAGAGGTGAAATTTAGACTCTTCGTAAGAGAAATGTATGTTTAGAGTCTCACTTGTCTGGTTCCGAATAATGAAATCCAAAAAACACAAAATGTAGATGGTCAACGTTTTGTGGGCTCTCAGTTTTGCATTGGAAGTGCATAGTGTAGAGATCAGCTCTGTTTTCCTGCGTTGCCACGCTTTTAAAGTGTTTTGCATTTGGTTGGAGCTGTGCAAGCACCTGCCTGCGACTGTGTGGCTTCGTTTTGGGAGAGTGTTTAAAGCCCAGAGTTTGACCTAGAAAGCCCCACATGCAACGCATGTTGTTTGGCTTAAGAGCGGAGTCTCGTGTGAGCGTGAGAAAGCTAACAGACGTGTTTGGAGTGCCTGTGAGCTGTGTGACGTGAAGGGTTACTTGCAATTGGTGCTTTGGAACACTTTGGTCTTTTACGTGATAGCGGAGCGTGGAAGCTCCGTTTGTTGGCACGAACGAGAAGGTCCCCCGGTTCAAAACAACCAGGGTTCGGCCGTCGGCAACTTGTCAGAGCCCAGATTCGGAACCCAGGTTCCAACCCACGTTGGAACCAGAACCCAATCTTGTACCTGGGTTCAACTCAGGTCACCCTTTCTTGGCTTTAATCCCTTGCTACAAGCCATTGCATCGAGCAACTGTGCAGAAACAAAAGAAAAACAGCTTAAAACAACCCAACCCTTGTCTGTCTTAGAATTCTGATTTGTGGATGGAGTCCAGGTTCAGATGTCTGCACCACTCAACTAGAGCTCAAATCTCACCCGGATGCACGCACGGGTGCGCCGCAAACCGACTTAAAGTTTTACAAGAGTCGCCAACAGTCGAAAACTTCGAGCCTCTGACATAGACCCTTGCACGTCAGTGAGATTGAAACAAAAGAAACTGCCAACTCAGATTTGTCTCATCAACACTTTCAAAAATCTGCTAAGCACAAATTTGCGGCAGAGGCTATCGTTTCAGCATCGCACGATGACAATGCAGATGATCCATGCGTCTGCTTGCCTAAGGTTTCCCGCGCTGCGAGGGACGCAGTCTCCTAGTCGTAGTAGTAGCAGTAGGAGTTGTTATAATGGTAGTAGTAGTAGTAGTAGTAGTAGTAGTAGTAGTAGTAGTAGTAGTAGTAGTAGTAGTAGTAGTAGTAGTAGTAGTAGTAGTAGTAGTAGTAGTAGTAGTAGTAGTAGTAGTAGTAGTAGTAGTAGTAGTAGTAGTAGTAGTAGTAGTAGTAGTAGTAGTAGTAGTAGTAGTAGTAGTAGTAGTAGTAGTAGTAGTAGTAGTAGTAGTAGTAGTAGTAGTAGTAGTACTGTGCAACCTTATGGTTTGCCGATTCCATCCCGTATGCGCAAAGGCAAAGCACTGGGGTTTTTTGTTCCCAGGTGTTTTGACACGCACGAATCATGACCACCCATGTCTGCCCATGCCCAGCTGACTCCTGGCTCAGCTGGCCCTGACCTAACCCGAGTTGGGGCCGTGCATAGTGTGTGAGCATTTTTTCGAGGCCTCTACGCCCTTAACTGCTTCCTAGAGCTTCCAGCCCCCTGTAAGCCTGGTGTTTCCTCTCTGC